CAAAAAAAATATAATAATTCTATCAAGAGCTAAGGAAAGGAAATAGGCCGTCTTGTGCTTCACATTGATAACTCAGAAATGATGTTCAGGACTGATAGGAAGGTGGTTGGGAAGGAAAAAGTGAAGCAAAGCAAAGGGGCAAGCTGTCTAGGGAGAGAGGTTTTCAGAGCAGGGTGGGTGAGTGGCTGTCATTAGGATGTACATAAACTGCTCTGGCCTTAGGGCTGGGTGAGGACCTGCTGACCTGTGGAGGTGCTTCCCTATCCTATTCCATACAAGTTTTTCATGGTTTTGACAAGCAGATTCTGCAGCCATCTGCAGCAGCACAGTGGTAGTACCTGGCATACAGAATCCCAGAAGCTATTTAAAAATAGATGTAGAAAAGAGGTCAGACAAACTGCACGTGGACAAAGAGAGAAATTAATGATACATTTTCCTTAGACATGTCTGTACGCCGTGTGCTCTGCATGCTGATGTGCAACCAACAGTGGTGGGGTGAGCTGCAGTGGAGCCACAGTTGCAGTAGGAAGGAATGAGCACAGGTACTCTGAATTTTCCTTCTGCTCTTTCTTTTGAGGTCAGCGTTGTCCGTGAAGGTGTTCAGATCCTGAATTTCGTGTAACTCATTTTCCATCTGAGTACATGTGAAGAAGAGCAGCGTGCTGTGGAGGATCCGACTGCCTGATGGTTTGTGTGTGCCAGGGACGGGCAGCCCAGGAATGGCTGCTACCTTAAAAGAGCAGCAGCTGGCAGAGGGCCTTTCAGCCACTCTTACATTACTCTGAAGAGGACAGATTTCACATGCCCTGACCTAACACAGGAGCACGGTCTTCAGAAACGGCTGCACGGATTTCCTAAATAATCAGGATTACGATGTTGCGCTTAACAACTAAACGAACAGAAAGGAAAAACCGACATCTGGCCAACCTCAGCCCCAGTCTCATAAGTGTCTCCCAGCAGAACCGGTGGTGCTTGCAGGGACGTTCCTCAGGCGGGCAGGGCGGTGAGCGATGCGCTGGGCTCGGGGCTCGCACGCTGAGGCGCAGCCCGTGCCGGCCTTGGCTCCTGGCTCCCTCTCGTGGCTGTCCGAGCGGCTGCAGAGCAGCTCCTGTCGCTCTGTCCCGGCTCGGTCTGCCGGTGCTGCGGTGTTTGCGGCACGATTCGTGGCGTGCTCTTAGAATTGGCCGTCCATGCATCTGGAGCAGATTTTGCAGCCTGGGCAAAATCAGCCTCGAGCTGCGAGCAGAATTAATGTTATTGCATGTTCTGCCTGTGCTGCTCAGCACTGATGGGCTTGAGACCCCAGCTTCCGTCACATTCTGAGTGCTGCTGTGGTGCTGCACTCCTTGCTTGGCCCCTTTGCCTGCAGCCAAGGACTTGTGCAAGTCCTCCAGCACACTGCCCTCTGCTTGTCCTTGACACCCAGCAGGTCGCCCTGTCCTGCCCACACCTCCAGGTCAATAACCAGAGTCACATTTACTTAAAACCAATTCCACGGCCAAACCCGTTATCTTTAACTTCATTAAAATAATTCCCAGTCAGCTGTGACAAAGCAGAGCCCATGAATCATGATTAGTGAAAGCAGAGGGCTGGAGGAAATTAATTAATTTCTTGCCTGTTCAAAAGGCTGTGCTGTGCTCGCTGGGCGGAGGCTTTGTGCCCTTTAGACAAAAGGCTGATGGTGTCACCTGTTAATCTTCTTGGTGTGCTGCTGATGGGTCTGGAGCAGCAGCCCTGTCCCCAGGGCCGTGCTGAATATGACAGTTGCTACCTGTAGGTCAGCTGCAGAATGCTGCCTTTTTGTTCCTGCAGCTGTTTTTAGCAGCTCTTTTTATGTCAAGATAAAGTGATCCTGGTGATAATCAGGTTGCAGCATTTTCCACCCCTTCAGGTGGAGTGTTTTTTGGGGGAAGGAAGAGTGAGGTGGTGGGGAGGGGGAGTGCTTTTAGTGATGGGACCAGAAGAATCCCATGGTCTGACTTCTGGACAGTGGAACAGAAGAACATGAGATGTAGCGGCAGGCAGGGCTCGGGGGAGCACCAGGGCTCAAACACCTCAAAGAAGTCCTGAAGATGCCTAGAGCTCTTTTCCTCCCTCCAAAAAAGCAGGTGAGTGAATGGGGAAGGTGTTGCACAGACCTCTGACTGCATGAGGCCTGGTCCCCCCACCCACCGTCCCAGCTTTTCACTGGACATTGACAGACAGAACTCACCGGGCTCTTTTGAGCATCCTAAATTTAGCTGATGCAGCTTAATGGTCCCTGCTGGTTTTTCTTCACATGCATGCTACGTTTCTGCAGTCTTGTTTTTCCTCTCTCCACTCCAGGGAGCAGCAATAGCTTTCTTGGAGGTGGCTTATGATTTTTCCAAACAGAAATTGTTTCCATTCCAGGGTTATTGACAATAACTAAATATATGTCCTGGAATTGCTTAGAGCCAAGGAACCTGATTGAAAGCTGCTGCTTCAGATGTCTAATAAAGCAGCACTGCAAAAGCTCAGTGCAGCATACGAGGCAGTCCCACCAATTCCCTGCATCTTCCTTTTCCATCCAGATATAACAACATAAGGGAACATTAACTGTCTGATGTCTAATTGAGTTTAATGCAGTGCTGTTAAAGCCATTAACTGGGGCTGATAGCTGAAACACCGGAGTCTTTACCTTGGTCTTTGTTTTTAAATGGGCCTTTTCCATCCCTCTAAGGTTAGTCCCCGTGCTGGGACACAGCAGCATCCTCACCCATCCTGGTGCTCTTTTGCTTGAGCTGCAAATAGAAAATGGTGTTTCGATGAGTGTACTTCTCCCTCTGAGTCCCCACAGCAGTCACTGGCCAGGCTTCACTCCACAGCCCTGCCTTGAGGTCAGGGAACTTACAGAGGGAGACCTGTACCTTGTGCTTCTGCAGATCTGGGCTTCTCTCAGTCCTGTACTTGTTCTCCATTCTCCTCATCCCAGGCATCTTGTTAATGAGATGAGCATCTGTTAGGAGCTTGACAGTGAGCGTTTTCCTGAGTGCAGTGCATTCTCTTGCCAGCTTGTTATTTACATGCTTGCTCAGGTCATGTATTCCCTGGGGTAGGAGTAAGACCTAAGGCTTGTCCATTTATCTTCCGTGAATTGCAGAGGATAAAGAAAACATTTACCTTCTGGCTGATAGTCCACTCATCTCTGTCTGAGTCTTATGTCTTTCCCTGTCAGACCTCCTTTTTCCTGAATTATTCCGGGTTCTCTCTAAGCACAACTTTTCACCCTTTCTTGACCCTCTATGTACAGTTCAAAATGCCTGGGCCAGCAGCTTGTGGAGCCTCACTGGGCTCCATCCTGTATGGGCAAATCATAGGCTTGTAGCCTCCTGGCTGCAGGCTGCTCTGTGCTCCCCATCGCATTTCCCTGTGCGTGCAGATGCAGCAGTGCTGGGGGTGGGTGTCTGTGCAGTGCTCACCAGGCCCAGCAGCTTTGGGCTGTGCCCTGTGCCTAGGAAAATTCTGGCTGTTAGCACGAGGCCATGAGCCACCCCGTGAAGCTGTCAGCGTGTCCCACTGCTGCGGTGTCCCTCCTGTCACACGTGCAGCATGATGCTGAGGTCTGTGCGTGACTTCCTCCTTCATCACATGAATAAATAAATATTCCCAGCAGGGTTGAGCCTGGATCTGCGCATAGCTAATGAGAACTGAAATCTCAACCTGAAATTACCACTCTTCTGGATGAATGGGGTTTAAAATAATGCTTTGAATGTCTTTTAAATGGAAGTGGCTCGCAGCGGGGGAATGAATGGATCTTTGTGGCTGTGTGCAGCCTGCAGTGCCCAGCCTGCCCCAAAGGCGGGGCTGCGCCTGAATTCCATTGCTGGGGTAGGTTGGAAGGAACACATGGCTCTCCTCTCTTTTCCCTTCTGAGAAATGAATTCCAGGAAGCGGTGAGCTGGATCAGCATGTGGGCAGTTGCCCCCTCTGAGGCCATTTGGCAGAGTGCAGGGCTGCAGTTTGCATCACTTCCACATACAGCAGCTTCCTGGGATGCAGCGTGTGAGTGCGGCACGGTGGTGTGGGTATCCCCGGCACAGACTGATAGCAGCTGTGTCATGGCTTGGCAGATGCCAGCAGGACAGGTGTGGGTGTTTAATGAGGGCTTCTGGCCTTCTCCTTGCCATTAGCACCAAGTGGGGCAGGCAGGTTTTCCAACAGCCCACAATACAGCTGCGTAAATCAGCGTGCCGCAGGGTCTGACCCTTTTGCATTGCCTCATCTGTGTCCTGAAGTCATGCCTCAGAATTATGCCTGACGAATAGAGCTGAGGGCTGTGTCCTCTAACAGCTTCTGCTTTGCTGCTGTTGCTGAAGTAGAGGTACTGCTGGCATTTGAGGTTGCTGTGCTTTTAGCCTTGAACCAGGATTTGGGTCCTCATGACTGCTTCAAAGATGATCAAGGAAGCAGGCGGGAAAACCATGCAGTGAGTGTGATGGGTGATTCTGGTGCTGAGTGGTCAGGAGTGAGGTCCTCTTGTCGAGGATGGTGCACTGTTCTGCCTGTGAGAACTCAACAGGGAATTCACTCCCAAGGGATTGATGTCAGCAGCCTTGAGCTCACATCTGAACACAGCTCTAGATGTGTTAATTAATTCCCAAAAATGAAGATTGGGAAAGGATAGCTACCAAGAGAGTTCCTCTGATCTACACCAAGAAGCTGCTTAGATAACAGTGCTACCTGGAAGAGGTGACAAGCTGCACGTGAGTCTGAGATGGCAGCGATTTTCCCTTGTAGACAAACGTATTCAACAACTGCTGACTGCATCCAGTACTGTTTGTGTTTTTTTTAATACAAGGAAAGAGATTTTAAATGCATCCCCCCTAACTAAACTGCCTTTGAAATCACTGAGCTTTGCAAGAGAAAAGGCTTTTGTAAATGTTATTCATGCAAAAGATGTCTTAAATCAGGCTCTTTAGTTACACCAAGTTGCTTTAAAACACAAATTAACCACTTGCCAAAACCACTTTCTTTTGCAGCTTAAATTTCAGTGGAGTCCATCTGGCATCTGCTGGGCAGTTCAGTGACTTCCTGGGCAGCATGGGTCCCGCACAGTTTGTTGGGCGTCAGACCTTGGCCACCACCTCGATGGGTAAGGAGCAGCAAGATCTTAGATGGCTTAAATTTAGTATTGGACAGACCACCCCTACGAGCCACCTAATAATGTGTCCAGCATCTGCTGTTCCACCACTCCTCCGCTCCATTTTTGTGTGAAATCAAGTAAGCTTGGCTGCAAGGTTTTGCTGATGGCTGCTAATATGGCATCAGCAGGGGAGAGCCGGCTTCATACTTTGCTCTGTCAGATCACAGTCACAGACTAAGTCAAATGCAGTGAAAAATCTGAAAACACATCCTATGCATTTTTCTAGCCCAGATACAGAGCCCAGCTCTGTAGAGATGTTCTTATGGCACACTACAACTGCATTTTCTGAAGCAGCCTGCAGCTCTAATATTGCGGTCTGGCAGAAATTGGAGGTTATTTGCCGCCAAAGAGTGTGAGACTGAGTCACCAAAGCTGTGCTAGGAGGCTGTTGGGAGGGAATTAGAGACTGTTCTTGAAAATGTGGGTTTGAGTCACTGCAGAGCTACTCCAGAGTAACACAGGAGGAGATCAGGCACTTAGGGCCTGCAATTTGACACAGCTCATAGCAGGGGTTGTTTTTTTAACAGTTTATCAGCCTGCAGATAGATTGCTTTGAAAGTGTTCTGTCTGTTTTGACATTTTGGTTTAGGGGACGTGGAAATTGGCTTGCAAGAGCGAAATGGGCAGCTAGAAGTGGATATCATTCAGGCTCGAGGACTCACACCAAAACCCGGCTCCAAAACACTGCCAGGTAGTGTGCTTTGACCTCCTCAAATACTTCACTGAGCCCCAGCTTCCTGCAGTGCTTGCAGAAAGGGGTACTGTTGATTCTGCTTGGCTTCTGTGAGAATGAGCAATCTGTTTGTCATATTGAAAATAAGGGTGGTTGAGTAAATTGTGTGCACTGCTGCAAATGCCTTCTTCAGAAATAGGAGACACAGCACTCTGCCTTTTCAAAATTGAGCATTGAGGTTTGTTCATATTTGTAACTGTATTTGTTTTTTTCCAGCTGCTTACATCAAAGCTTACCTGTTAGAGAATGGCGTGTGCATTGCGAAAAAGAAGACAAAAGTGGCTCGCAAATCATTAGACCCTTTGTACAATCAGGTGTTACTGTTTCCTGAGAGCCCCCAGGGCAAAGTATTGCAGGTAAGAGACTGAGTCTCAGGTCTGCCCATCTCCCTGTTTCATCTGTTCTGGAACATACTGTGTATGGCAAAGAATCTAGATAAGTAACATAGAGGAGGAGAAGCCGATGCTTTCATTGAACTGGATGCACTCGATCTGAACATAACAAATGAAAAGGAAAAGCATTGTTTTATACTCAAACTTTATTATTTGATACCATGGCAGGTAATGTGGACGCTTACCAGGAGAAGGTTTTAGTTTTGTTTCCAGTCAGGAAACGAGTAATGTCTATAGATAGTAAACAGCCTTGCAACAGAGGTTTTTTTCTGTGTTTATTCAGAGCACTCTGCTTTGGCCTTCACCCAGTCACATACCCTGCCTGTTTCTACCTTTTTCTTATACTGCCATACATCTCCTGCCATATGCTCATTTCCAGTTCTGTACCTGTGTTTCCAGGGCAGAGAGTGAATTCTACTGTTAATCCATACTTAAGTCATTTCTGTGCCATAAATCCTAGCTAAAATTCACTGGAATTACTGATGTAATTAATCTGTGAGTTTCTTTTGCTTACCTCCACTCACATATGAATTGCCACTGATTTACAGGATCCTTTTTAGTGAACTCTTCTCCATTTATCTTGGTTGGAAGCAGTTTTCCCTATTGAAGCTATAGTGAACTTTTCTGACTGACATATGGGTTCTGGCTTGGTCTGGATTTCCTTACCTGCAGCCGTGCTGTTGAGTGGATCTTCACCTTGACTTCTCTGTGGACCACAGCATGGTCTTTGTGCCGTGCTGCCACAAAGAAGATGGAAGCAAGGCTGAGGTACCTAAAAATTAGCTCATGAAAGATCTTGAAGGTGTTAAGAACTATGGATTTTATCCCCAGCAGGATTGGAAAGCTCAGTATGAAACGTAATATTTGTCTCCATTTCAGAGACATGAGCAGCATTTTTCAGGTAGGGTCTCCCATAGAATGCCCAAGGTGAGTTGGCAGAGCACAGCTGTCTCTGGAAAAGGTCTCATGGGTTCCAGTACTGCCTGTCCTGGGGCACCACTTCATCTTCCAGCACTCGGCCATGCCTGAGGGTTCTCATGAGTCTTTGCCTTGACCTTACCTTTACAAACAGGCCTTGGTCATAGAACAATGAGAAATGCTACCATGCTGCTTTGCCACTTAATGAGAAATAGTGCTGCCTTCCCATGGGCTGTGGTACAGCAGAAACCGAGTAACAAGCAGCTGTGCTAAATGTCAGTATGTGGTCCTCTGTGAACCTCTCACCTGCTCCCCTAGCTGTGTCTTTGCCTTGGCGGCATTCCTGGTGCAGAAGGCAGGCCTGCTACAAGGGGGTTGGAGCTGTGTCTGCCTCGTTGCAGTTCTTCTGTTCCATGCCCTGCTCCATTTGTGTCATTCAGTTTGTCTTCAGGACCAGTTTCAGTATCTGATTGCAGCTTGCAGTGTCTCACTGCAACTTACTCAAACAGAATAAAATTAGGAGCTTGGTTCAGCTGCTGTGCCACCAGACCAACTTTCTGCAATATCTTGCTCCATCCCATGCTGACCTAGAGTGATAATTTTTGGCTTTTCATTGATATTCATTGTCTCTCCTGCCTCGTTTTGCTTAAAAATGTAATGTTCTGGTTATTCAGAGCCTAGGGGAAAGAATGATTAGCCAGAGATCACCAGTCACCATCATAACCCATCATACTCATCCTCTCCTCTTCAGAACTTGGACTTGCTATGGACTCAGGCGTCACCTTTGTCTTGAGCCACATAGGGCCATTTGGTCACGTGCAGATCTCCAGCATGTCTAAGCCCATGACCCTCACTGCATCTGTTGTTCCACCCACCGGTCTCCATCGTGTCGTAAGTGTGATTCAGCTTTCCCTGCTCAACTGCCAGCTCTTTCATTACACCTTCCTCTGCGTCTCCAAGCTTTTCTTGGCAGTCTGTTGTTTCCCCTGCATGCCACTTCAAGTGTGCCCCTTACATCACCAGTCCCGCTTGGCAGTGCTCAGCTCCTGCCCTTTCTGCAGGTGAGTAACCGTGTCTCCTTGCCATCTGCTGTGCATTACAAGGCTGAGTGCAGGAGTTAAGTTGTATACTTTTGCTGTGTTGAGGCCAGTTGTTGTGCCAGGACTGGTTTGTATTGTGGGTGTTGGAGCTGCAGCTCCATGGGTATGTTGTGCATGTGCTTGGCCTACAGAAGTTGTCCTATTGAAGAAGAGTGTTTCATCTACACATACACTCACTTCTTTTGTATAGGAAAAAAAAGAAAGTCTGTTAATATTCAGATTAGTAAAACTGAGCTAAAAATGCAGGTAAAATGATCATCCAGAACTTCAGCAGCAGCCCAGCGTGTCCCTGTGTATGCCTGCATGGTGTAAACATTTACACCCTTCTTGGATTCTAGTAAAGCCCAGGGAAACTGGATACATAGGAGGAATACAGAATTGGTCAGACTGCTGCTTCCCAAGCAAGCGTGCAAGCTTGTGGATTAACTGTGCTCCCCCCCTTGTTTCTAAGGTGATAGTCTGGGGAAACTACGGCCGCATGGAGCGCAAGCACTTCATGGGAGTCGCAAGGGTCCTCCTGGAAGAACTGGATTTGTCAACTTTAGCAATTGGCTGGTACAAGCTCTTCCCAACCTCCTCAATGGTGGATCCCACTACAGGCCCGCTCCTGCGCCAGTCCTCGCAGCTTTCCCTGGAGAGCACAGTGGGACCCTGCTGTGACAGGTCTTAGTGAGTAAGGAAGGGGGAACTGCTTTTGTTTTTTAAACATGCTGTCAAGGTTTTGTTTGCTGGAACTCTGACCTCAAGCGCAATGCATGTTCAATCAGTTCTTGTGGAGCTGGAAGAGGAGGATAAACCAGTGACCTTAGACAGAAGACAAGGGGGAGGGTGCTGTACCCTCTCTGTCGGAGGAGGTGCCGTGGGGCATGAGTCCTAGTTGTCAAATTAGACATACACCTCTTGTTTCGCTTCTCACTGTCATTCTTGGACCCTTGTTTCAGATCAGCATTAACTCTGGAAAGTTGCAGCATTTGAAAATTCTGGGGGGAGTAAGGAAGGTATTTTTCTTAACTGTGCATCTTCAAAATTTCTTAGGCAGATTCTTTCTCAAAGTACCTAAAAAATGCAGAGGCCAATATCTGACCTAGAAAGAGCAAGAGCAGAAAGTTTCAGAGGAAGCATGAGTTTTTCATAAGATCTTATGGAAAAAAGAAAGAAGAAAGAAACCTGTAATTCTTTAGTATCAATTCCACATCACTGAATCACGTTCCCTGTAGCACTGCCATCGCTGTGTTTTCAAACTGTGCCAAATTACCAGCAAGTGTCTTTCCTGCATTACTTGTGTAACACTGCTGATGAAGCATACTTGGTGGGAGAGTAAGCGCCTGCTTAGACCAGGCAGTTTGAACAGAGTTTGAGTTTAGCAGTCTAATTATCTGCAATTTTGCTCAGAAAAAACCCCCCAGACCACTAGAGGTGGGAGCTGAGCATCAGACTTGCAGCTTGAGATATGCTTTATGCCTTTATACCCTCACTTGTTACTCTGCGTCCTTCAGTCACTTCTTCTGTCTCCTGCTCTTCTTTCATCTCCTTTGTACCGGTACATATCTGCTGGAGATGCTGCCCTTCCTGTCGTGCTATTGACTGACCTGAAACGGGGCTGTTTTATTCTGCTGCAGGAGAGTGAGATTTGTAGGGGTGCAGAAGAAAGAAATTTGAGTCTGTCATCTGACAGGAAGGTGCTGAGAGCACATAACCTTCCTCGTGGAAAGAAGGTTGCTTTAGGCACTCTCAGTAATACACAAGCATTGTCAAATGTGCTGAAAGAAGAGATGCTGTCCCCAGAGTATGGAGCAGTAATGGGTGAGGAAGCTGAAGGCACAGTGGTCACAGCATGTTTATTTCATTTAAGTGCAACGTTAACTGGAAAGGAACATCGTAGGTGAACCTGTGAAGCACGTTCTCTGTCAGCAGAGTCATGTGCTAGAGAAAGGCAAGCTAGATCCTTCACTCAATTAAAATCTCTTCTTTGAAAACACTTACTATGAAAAATAACAGAGAATCTCCAAAGATTTCCTGCTAATGGCTAGATTTTTTTTGTAATTCTTAATGAGGATTTGGTGATTGCACTTTCCAAATAAGCTTTGGAGATGTTTTGCTTTGTGATTTAGAAGTGAAGGTCCCATATCATGTTTAGGAGTGAGCAGATCCTCAGCCTCTCACCGAGGCACTCAGAGCATTTATTTCTGCATGCGGACCTCAGCTTTGTTAGAGTAAAGCATGACTGTAGAGTGGGTGGTGAGAGCAGTTGCTTTTTGATCCAAGCTTGTCTGTGGCGTTTTAAATCATTTTGAGATAAATTTCAGAATAGGTACCAAACAAATAGGCCTTACAATAGTGTCTGTAAAAATGATATGATATAAAGGAGAGGGAAGGCGCAGAAGGGACATAGAATGAATGAATAGGTTTTTTAGTGGCAAAAGCCTCAGCATTTCAGATAAATCTCTTAATTTCCTTGATGAGATATGTCTCTGGCCTCTCACTAATTATTTTTTCTAATCGTATTAGACAATTTCTATATATTAGCTGAAGAAAGTTTGTTGCATGCTGGTCAAACTATGTTGTGACGCTCATTTTTTTAAAGAAGCACATTTACTGTAATTCAAGTCAGCATCCTTTCCTCTTGGTATGTAGTGAGTACTAGGCAATATTGTACAATACGTGTATGAACTAGAATAGATTAGGTAGATTTAGTGGTTTGTAGCACCGGATCTTTTAATAACTATGTCTTTAAGAGGACTGTGGGGAGCTCCGGGTTCGTTCCAAGCCTGGTCACTGAGAAACAGGGCTTCTGTTCTAAGTAGTGCTGAGCACTTCCTATTGGAGATTGTTTGACATTATCCCCTGGTAACAGCCGGTTGGTCATCTTTGTCCTCTGTCAGTAAGATGAATGCAGCGTTGCAGTCTTTTATCCCCCCAAAATTCCCTCTGAAATATTATTTAATGCCTGTCCATTGGAAAGCTCAGTTCTGCTATGCCTGGCGAATGCAACGTGTCTCTAAATCCCTAAAAGTGCAGCAAGCTCATAGACAACTGGCATAGTTAAAACAGGACTCCTCAATGCTGAGGAATGTCTTCCATTTATTTGTAGTCATTCTAAAAGTTTGTTTTCGGGGTTAGAAAAAAAAAACACACAAAAAAAACCCCTCACCAAAAAAAGGCACTTTGCTCGTGTTGTTTTTATTAGCGTCCCCAATTCTGGATTTTGAGGTCATTCTAACAGTCTGCTTTGGGCTGTCTTCTTCTGCTTTGTTCCCTGGGTGGTGGTAGCCCGATTCTCCTTTGTGTTTGGAGTCACTTCCAAGTCCTGTTTCTCTGCAGTGAGTGAAGGTTGCAAGGTCTGGCTGCCAGGCATGGCAGGGTGATGCAGTCCTGGTGGTGCTCCTTTGTAAAGCAGGTGCACTCACAGGAGCCCTTTCAGGAGTGCCCTCAGGGCACGGAGTGTCAGCTCAGGCTGTCCCTGTGCAGTACTGACGCTCTCAGTTCTTGCTCCATTCATGCCCATGATTCCTGCACTATGGCATATTGCAGTTAAAATGAAGTCTAGTTTTCCATCGATGTTAAGACTCCCGGTGTAGCATCCATGGCAAATCTTGGGCTTGGAATGGCTTCTTTTTATAAAACCTAACCCCTTATTTCCCTTTGAATTTGACCTGTCAGTTTCTGTCTAAGGTGGTGTGATGTGCTGGTTGTGATTACTGGTGTGCTGAAGTTTGCCAGGGTGGTGAGTGGCTGAAAGCTAAACTTTGGTCCCCTTTAGTCCTGATGGAGCTTTTTTCCTGTGTCTGAGCTGAGTGGTTAGTTATAATCAGAGAGGGAAAGAGCAGGAGACTTTTAACAAAAGCAAAAAAAAGCCATCATAGTGTTTGTGGTCTGCAAGTGCTGATGAGAGATGAGTCTGAGGAGAGGTGAGTATCTGCCCCACACAGGGCTGGTTCCCCACTCCTTCCTTGTGCGTGAGATGCTCCATTCTAGTAGTAACAGGAAGGTTGCTTGCAGGAAAGAACTGGAGGCTGATCCCTGTTACCTCCGTTACTGTTATGCAGGAAACAAAGGGGCTCGTGGTGCTGAGGCAGAGCCATCTCTCCCCACGTAGCCCAGCACACCGCAGCCCCGCACGCAGCTCTCGCTCCCTCGGGCTGAGCAGAACATGGCCACGTTTCTTCAGGCAGCAATGCGAATTCTCCCGGTCTCCTGGTGTTGCTTTCCCTTTGCCCCAGCACAGCTGGGATGCCATAGAAGACAACACGAGATCCTCATTCTGCAGTTCAACGCACGGGTCCTCACTGTGGGCCCACATCCACGTGGGCAGCAGAGCAGGGGCCCGCTGACAGTCAGCCAAGCACATCCCCGCTTCTTGGTGCGGGTTGCTGCACAGATCACTGCAGAATGATTTGCTCTGGATGATGATGTGCATTTAATGTTTCTAGCTACTGGATCCTTTATCTCTGTACTGTTCTAAATTGGCAGGTCTTCTGGAGTCAGAATATCAGGGCTCCTGTACAGGGGCTGTTTTTAAGACGTTGAGGCAGTTAACAGAATCTCAACCTAAGCATGTTTAGTAATGTTTAGACAGCAAGACAACTTTTTTATGAGACTCATTTTAAGTTAGTTTATTACATGCTGTTAGTAATATTTTAAAACAGGAAAAATATTTTTCTTTAAAGACAAGATGATGTATGTTTTTTAACAGATAGCATAATTTAGCATTTTCAGAAACGTCCAATGTCCTCGGTATGGAGTTTGCTCATTCTTTTGATTTCTGTGTCCCTCGTTATCTTTTATCACCCCTTTTCCAAAAGAGAAGAGACGTATGTAAATAACCACCAGAAAAGAGTCCTACAGGAAATTCTGTTCAAACTGACCATAAAATTATTAGTAAATATTTGTCATTGTTCATTAACTCTCAGCTTCTATTCGAGCCTTTGTTGAAAGAAATAATTGATGTTGTATTTTCAAGATGAAAACGACTTAGCTAGTTTTGTCATAATCCTGTACTCTGTATAAAAATCTTTTTATAAAGAAAGTCTAATAGGCTAACAAGCAATAATATATTCCATTTGGTGTGCACAGATTGTGACTTGCAGGCTGTAGTACATATTGTTGATACAGTTTATAATTGTCTTCAATCTTAACGACATCACTTTTGAAAAAGGTCTGTATTAACTTTGTGAAACTGAAGATTGGGCTGTTGCCTTGTAAGAAATATTCATCGTGTAGACTTCTCTGTGAGTATATGTGCCCATTAACATGAAATCTCGTAGGTGAAGAATGAAACAGCTGTAGGTGACTTCATACTACAGAGTTTAAAAATAGTTTCAATATAAACTTGATGACTGTTTCAAGCACCCTGTTTTTCTTAGGCTATTTAGTATTTGTAACTCAGTGAGAACGGTTCCCACTGCCACTGTAGCCCTGATAAAGCAAAAAAGCCTTTGCACTCTGGGCTGCGTGAGTTCTGCCCATAGCTGCCTGTTTGCCTCGAGGCAGCAGGGGCAAGCTAAAGGGAGTTTATTTCAGAGCAGCAGATTGAACTGCTCTCATTTAAAGGCTTCGTGGGTTGTTTTGTCGATTTCATGGATGGCATTTGTCCATTTTGTTAGAAAATTCCACCCAAGGCAGCGAGATTGCACCTCCACAGAGGATCACGGGGACTGACGTGTGAATGGGAGCAGGCTGTTCTGGCTGTCTTCAGAAAGCTGAGTGGTGCTGAGCTCAGCAGATTTTTCTGTGGTGGTAGGATCAAGATTCTGGATTTTAAGTCAGCTTTATCACTGTTGTGGTACCTGAAATCAAACAGCTTCGGAACAGCATCCCACTCAGTTGGCTGCGGCCCGTCTTTGCACTGTTCTCAAGGTTGCCACCTGCCAGCCGTGCAGCCGGCGGGCCACGCGCTCAGATGCTGGAAGCCCAGATGGGTAATGAGAGAACTAATTCACAGCTGATTGTGAAATGCTTGGAGGATAAAGAGCCATGTGAATGCAAAGTGCCATCAGCAGAGCAGTCCAGGGAAACACACGTGTTGTAATTGGTGTCCACGTGCGTGTGTGCAGCCAAGTGCCCCTGCCTGCAGGTCACCTGGGGCGCCTGCCGTGGCAGGACCTTCCTGCAGCCCAGCCACTCGCCCACAGCAGCAACATCGGGCTCTGTCCTCAGGAGTCTCAGGCATTCCCCACAGCGCGGATACCTTCTGCCCTCCCTTCCCTTTGGTAGCTGCTCTTGTCCCAGAGGAAGAGAGGAATGGGAGAATTTCTTGTAGCATTTGGTTCTTTGCACTTTAGCAACCAAACATGAGGAGGAGCCAGCACCAGCCCTTTATGGAGCACCAGCAAACAGAGGCTGAGACCTAATGCTTTTCCCTTCATGCCTTCCCAGGAGCTGAGATGGCAGCTAGTGCCGTGTGTGCCCTGCTGAGCTGGGCCAGTGGGCAGCTTTGTGTTGATGCAGCACGTCGGGAATCGTGCGGCCCCCAGCTCAAAAAGGAGAAGGCTTTGTCCTGCAGGAAGGATGCGTGGACACAAGGCATGTGGGAGGGATGTTGGCAGGAACACTCCAAGGTAGGACTCAGGGCACGTCTGCTGCTGGAGCCTGTTGTATGCTAATCCAGGGCTTGGTTTTTAGTTGTCTGGGCACCGTGGATTCAGATAGCTGCCCACAGGGCTCCAGATCCCACTGAACACAGTCTTTACATCTTGCAGCATTCTTTCCTTGGGGCTGTTGTTCCTTACCCAGTGCTGCTCCTTGGTCTCTGTTTTGGTGATTCTGTCTCCTGGACCTACAGCTGCTTTGAGCCTTATTTGGAGCAGACCTGTGGTGTGTGCCCTCAGTCACATGGTAGTGGGAGCTGCAGGCTGTTCTCTGGTTCAGGTGGCAGTGGGACCCCAAGGTCCCAGCATAGCATGACTGTGGCCCTACCACCCACACAGGAGCAAGCGTCCCAGCCACGTATTGTGGCAGCGCTGAGCTCAGAGCGCAGGGTAGCTCCATGCCAAGTCTGGTTGGAGCTGGGGGTCTTTGTAGGCTACTTGCAGCCCATGCCATATGGTACAGCCAGCCAGGAGAAAGCAGGGACAGGAGGAGCTCTCTCCTGGCTTTTTCTTTCTGCTGCTCCCTGTGTACATTCTCCCTTCCCTCTTGACACGAGGCCTTACTCCAGCCCACAGGCCCGAGGCTGCCTGCAGCCCCTCTTTGCACTGCAGCGTCCATCCCACGCTGCTGGGCAGCCCGCAGAGCTGGTCTCTGTGTGGGGACAGGGCTGTCCTCCCAGCTGTCACCCTGCAGCAGGCTGCTGCCTCCGTGTGCCCCCAGGGAAAGCTGCTTCCATTGGGTCCAAACTTTTTACATCATCAGTTGCTCCAGAAAACAACAAACAATAGCTGGGCAGGGGCACCATGCAGTTGCTACGTCTCCTCTCACCTTCCTGTAGGAGTGGGGGCCTCTCCAAAGCATTTGGAGGTTTTTAATGCTGCCCGCCGAGCTCTGATCCCACAGAGCTGGAGGGAACACCAGGACGGGCAGTGTTGGCCTTGCTCCTGCCTGGGGGCTTTAAGGTGCAGGGCTGCCTTGGGTGGAAGCGTGGGACACCGACAGCGGTGCGCTGCGGCCGTGGGCAAAGGAGGGTTCTGCTGTACTTTTTTCCTGTCTGTAGGTTTTATTCAGACGATATGTGATGATCGAGTGATTTACAATTCAGTGTTAAGCTAATGAAAACGTTGATAATGGTGACAATAAAAACCTTTTTTTTTCCTATGGTGTGTTGGATTACTTTAATCTAAAATTCAGCGGGATCATCCATTCTCTCTGTGCCTGAAGGAAATGCTGTGAGCTCAGCCTGCCGCATCGCAGCGGTGCCCGGACTCCTTCCTGATGCTCTCAGCAGATGGGTTCTCTCTGAACCCACCCTAATTTCAATCCTGCATTCCTCTCTGCCATTTCCAGACATCATTTGTCTGTGGGCATCTGCAGGCACACAGCTGAGCTCTCTTCTGTTTTTACTCCAGGCAGAAGCCTTCTGCTCTTGCTGTTGTATTCTGTGGGGACCCTTCATGGTCACGCTGGCCACGGTAGATTGATTTGGAAACCCTGGAACATAAAGTGTTGCTGGCAGAAGAACAGTACTGTGCCCCATGATGGTGGGAATTCAAAGAGGGATGGGATGTGTGTTCAGGGGAGTGTGGGCACCTCTGGGAAGGAGCGTCCATGGGGGAATCACTGGGACTGCAGTCCTGGTGCAGGAGGGTTTGTGGAGTGCCACTCACCTCAGAGTTTCTTAAAGGTTTTCTCATCCCAACCTCTGTGTGGACTGGCAGGGCAGCTCCCCACCACCCTCCTGCTGCAGCTCCAGCCCCAATGGATCCCTGGTCCTATGTGACACATGGAGTGATGAATGGCACCTCCCACCCTCAGACCATCACCAGCTCCCAGAAACAGGATGGGCTCAGACAGTCACTAAGCAACCAGTGACCTCCCCCAGGGACATCCCTGCCCATGGACATCCACAGCCCAGCCATGGCAGGGCACGGGGAGTCTGGCAGGGTGCTGGGCTTTGGGCTCAGGCACATCTGCTCCTTTCCTGTGACAAACACTTGTCCAGCAGCAGCTGGGTTCACCTTTTATTAAACCTCCCAGAACAAAAAGGAGAAAGCAAAGCCTGTTCTGAAGCCATCCCGATGTGGGTACTCTGCATGCCTTCCCACCAGAGGCAAAATGGAGAGGAAAATCACACAAAGGGGTTTTTAGATAGAGCTGAGTGAAAACGTCTGTTTATTGGGGGAAAACAAAAAAGTGAAGCAAAGCTGCTCCCACTGCCAGAGCCCAGCCCTGCTCTCCTGCAGGGTGGGACAGGGCATGGAGCACCAGCTGGAAGCAGCCTCCTCTGTGGGGCTCTTTGCTAATGTCCTGATGTGAACCTGACCCTGTGCAGGTGGCTGCATGGTTCAAGGAGGAGCTCTCTGGGGCTGAGCCCTCAGCACAGCCTGGGCTCACAGGTTTGGCTGCAGTCCTTCCCACCAAGCAGTCTGTGTGGGGACCTCTTGGCAGGTGCCTGCATGGAGCTCAGCTCCAGGGCTTCTAAATCCCTTCCCCAGCCATACTGCCATCAGCCAGAGAACTGCAGCCCACCTCGGGTCCTGTCCTTGCATGGCACTGCCTCATCTGTGCCCAGGGAAGAGCCTGTGGGATGTCTTCAGCCCTGCGGGACTTGCTAACGTGTGTTTGGCCATTGTGGTGCTCTTGGCATATGTGACAGCCTGTGTGGCAAGAGGCAGTGACCGCATCTCAATGACCAAGGCAGCAATGCCTTCATTTTGAGAGCAGGCAGGTGGGAAAGCAAACCTACATCCTGCTGATGGGGCCTCTTCCAGACTCAAATGCTTGAGCCTGCTTGGGAGGAAGGAAAACCAAACAGTGCGTAATTGAGGCTGGCACCCTGCTGGAGGAGCGATGCCATCTCCAGGCCCAAGGTCCCCCGTGTAGGGCTGGTTGCCAGCTGGGAGAGAGGAACAGAAGAAATGAGAGGTCAGAGGGGCCCGATTCCTTTGTTAATTGTTCATCAGCACAGCGAGGCTCCTAGATGGATTTCCTGCGTGGCTGTGGGTGCCGCGGGCACCGAGCGCTGCCCGATGACAACGTGCTGGCCGGGGACGAGCCAGTCTGTCCTCGTGTGCTCAGCGACACCTCGTCGATTTTGTAGGAAATGGAGTTGTAGTAGACGGGGTTGGTGTGGCAGCTCAAGGTCTCGGGGTGGGAGGGCGCGGGGCTGCCGCACAGCGGGGCCCGGTAGCACAGGCAGGTGCAGAAGGCCGGCACTTTGCCCTCCCCGTTGGCCGACTGCCGCCGCTGCCGCTCCGCGTCCTCCTGCACCAGCGGGATCAGGTTCATCTGGCTGGTCCTGTCCTCTGCCGGCAGAAAGATGGCCTTGTTGCTGTGCCCGTCCTCCTTGGCTGTGAGGTGGATGGCGTTGCGGGCCCTCCTGAGTGAAGCCCTCTCCTCGGCGTCGCGCCGCTCGTCTTCCGAGTTCATGGTGAGGAAGCGCAGCACCACCAGGTTGAGGAAGGCGCCGATGACCGTCAGCCCCACCAGGATGTACATGAAGCTGAACGCCACGTAGGGTGGCTTCTTCTGTAGCGCCTCGTTCTTCTGCAGGGCCACAAAGTCTCCGAAGCCGATGGTGGTCAAGGTGATGAAGCAGTAGTAGTAGGCATGGAAGA